TATTGACTCCTCTTTGTTTTGTTTTGGAAGAGTTAGAGGAGAACACTTATTAAATCTTCTTTGAATGTTTGGTAGAATTCACTGGTTAAGCTATCTGGTCCTGGACTTTTACTTTTTGGTAGGTTTTTGATGATTGTTTAAATTTCCATACTGCTGATCGGTCTATTTAGATTTTCCAGTTCTTCTTGATTCAGTCTAGGAAGGTTGTATTTTTCATATACTGGTCCAATTCTCTAGGTTATTAAATTTGGTGTTATATACTTTTTCATAATATTCTTGTATTATTTTTTGTATTTCTGCAATATCAGTCATAATTTCCCCTCTTTCATTCCTGATTTTGTTTATTTGTACCCTTCTCTTTTTTCTTTAGTGTGTCTAGCCAGGGGTTTGTCAATTTTAGTAACCTTCTCAAAGAACCAGCTTTTCGTTGCATTTATTTTTTCTATTTGTTTTTGGCTTTCAATTTCATTTATATCTGCTCTAATTTTGATGATTTCTTTCCTTCTGAGGAATTTAGCTTCATTTGTCTTCCTTTTCTAGTTTTTAAGGATAAAGTGTTAGGTTGTTTATTTAGGCTCGTCCTTGTTTTTGGAGATGGGCCTGTAATAATATGAACTTTCCTCTTATGACCACTTTAGCCCTGTCTGAAAAATTTTGATATGTTGTACTATCAATATCTTTCATTTCTATGTATCTCTCGATCTCTCTTTTTTTATTTCTTCTCTGACCAAGTTATTCTTCAGTTGCATGTTGTTTAATCTCCATGTATTTGTGGTTCTTCCTGATTTCTTTTGCAGTAGATCTCTAGTTTCAAAGCATTATGATCAGAGAATATGGTTGGTATGATTTCAACCCTCTTATATTTGTTGAAGCTCTCTCTGTGTCTCAGTATGTGGTTGATTCTTGAGAATGTTCTATGTGCACTAGAGAAGAATATATTAGCAGCTGCTAATACATAAAAAGCTCTGTAAATGTCAATTATGTCCAGTTGGTCTAAAGTGTCATTTAAGGATGTTATTTCCTTATTGATTTTCTGTTTGGATAATCTGACAGTGAGGTACTGAGGTCCCCTATTACAATAGTGTTTTGGTCTGTTTCTCCCTTTAGTTCTGTTAGTAATTGCTTTACATATTTTGGGGCTCCCTGATTGGGAGCATAGATATTAATAAGCGAATTAATAAGTGAAACGATTCCCTTTATCATTATGAAGTGTCCCTCAGTATCTTTCTTTACCTTTTTTATTTTGAAGTCTATTTCATCTGATATTAGTACCACTACTCTTGCTTTTCTCTGAATGTCATTTACCTGAAATATCATTTTCCACCCTTTCACTTTGAGTCTATATTTGTCTTTGGAACTGAGACATGTCTCCTGGAGGCAGCATATGGTTGGGTTTTGTTTTTTGATCCGTTCTGCAATTCTGTGGTTTTTTATTGGTGAGTTCAGTCCATTTACATTTAGGGTGATTATTGAAATATGACGTCTTCTTATAGCCATTTTATCTTTTGCTATCTGGTAGCTTGATGTTTCCATTGCTCCCTTGCCCTTGTGTTTCTGTTTTCTTTATTTGGATTGATTTTTGTGGCTTTTCCCTCTGGTCCTTCTTGTTTTATATTATATACTTTGGTTCTGATCTTGGGCATGTGGCTACCATTATGAATATGAAAAGGATAGTTATATATATATACAGCTGTCCATTTTCTTTTGCATGTACCTTATCTCCATTCCCCTTTGCGAATTTGGATCTTTGAATCCCCTCTTTTTCAGTCATCGTTATCTCAATTTGTTCTTATGTATGCTGAACGTTCACTACTATCTTGTTATAACAATTCTCTTATTATTTAAGCTTATAATGCCCTGTTCTTAGTAAGGGTTGCATTCCTCTGCTTCTATTTGTCTGCTAGTCACTTTGCTCCTAAATATGTATATTTTTGTTGTCATTTTAGGTGAACTGACGCCTTTCAGTATTGCCTGTAGAGCAGGTTTCGTAGTGGAAAATTCCCTCAATTTTTGTATGTCTGGAAAAGTTTGATTTCTCCTTCATATATAAAGGAGAGTTTAACTGGATACATTATTCTAGGCTGGAAGTTCATTTCACCTAATAGCTTACATATATGATTCCATTCCTTTCTGTCTTGTAAGGTTTGCGCTGAGAAGTACGAGGAAAATCCAATGAGTTTTTCTTTATAAGTTACCATTTTTTCCTCCCTGGCTTCTTTGAGAATTCTGTCCTTGTCATTGATTTTTGATAATTTTAATACAATGTGTCTTGGAGGAGGGCTTTTTGGGTTAAGATAATTTGGTGCTCTGT